CACTAAAGCCAAAGGGTTAAACCTCCACCTGCAACGCAACTGGTCAAGTAGATATCCCAGATGTCCTTATACAAGCCTCCCTGGCACAGGCATCACCAGGAGTTGCTTGCCCAGATGCAGGACTTGAGTTTGTTTTGCTGGCCCTCCGTAGGATTTAGGGTTCAGGATTTAGGGTTGAGGATGATGCATGGAACAATTTAGGCCCAAGACATGGAGGGTTTTTGGGATTGAAAACCTAGCTTGGCGATTTAGGATTTAGAGTTCAAGGGGCTTGGTTTCAAGGTTTGAGAGTTTGGTGTTTAGAGCTTTTGATTTTTAAGTAAACCGGCTTTGGGTTCAGGATTTCAGGATTTCGGGTTTAGGGTCTGAGGTTTGGGGTTCAGAGTTTGACCGGCGGGTTTGAGGAGTAAGCTTAAAGGCTTAGGGTTTAGGGGACTTGGACCGGGTGCGCTCCACAAGGAAAGCACGCACCCAGTTCAGGCTTTTTCAAAGCCGTGAGCCACTCAAGAGGATCGTCCAAGTACTTACAGTCTCAGCTATGCAGGTAAAACATTTCACACAGTTCCCAGCACTAATTGTAAAATCACTTGTAGACCCCAAGCCCTAAAACCAAAATCCGAAATCCACAGGCCCCACACCCTTAGAACGATCTAGAGGTCCAAGTATTCGGGTTTCCTTGGCGGTCTTTTAATCGAAGGTGCCCTAGGTTTTTAGACACATGGTTATGAGCCCAAACTAGGTAAAGCCCAAACGCAAGCCGTCAGTCCCACATCCCACACCCTAATCCATGAGCTCCGAATCCTTAGAAAAATGTCCCTGAAGAATCCCAGCCCGGGCGCAGGAGTGGCTACAGAACTTGGATGTGAAGTTGCAAAAGTAACTGGTTCTACATTTTTTTTGGGGGGGACATTGGGGTTCAGTGGTGGAAGGTGAAAGTTTGGGTGTAGGTCTTGTGGTTGTTAGAGACAAGGTTTTAGCGGTCAAAGGCTATGGGGTTTTGGGTAGAATTCAAGCCAACCGGGCGTAGAGACGGCTCTGCTTTAGTACGCCTTCATTAAGTTCCCTTGACGTCAAGTGGATGTTCCTATTACAGGAAGAGTGGTCTATGCTGGGGATTGCAATGTTTGGATCACGTGAGTGAAGTTTCTGATAAATTTTGGACATCCTCCAATACCCTAAACCAACCCTAAACCCTAAACCCCTAAACCCTAAACCCTAAACCCTAAACCCCAAACCCCAAACCCTAAACCCCGTTTTTAACTCTACCAACTGCAACAACCCAGGCATGGCCAAGCCGACTTGCGGCTTCCCTTTCCCTTGTGCCTCGGGCGGCCGAGTGAGGCAGAAGTGCTGGTTAAGGCTTAATGTGGGGTATTATTGGGGGTTATATTGGGGTTAT